GGGTGGGGGGGCTGGGGTGGGGTGGGGGTGGAGGCGCCTGCTGGTTCCGCTCTCGCTCTCTGGGGACTGGAAGCAGAAGTGGCTGTGTGACGGTGGGAGTCGGGGCGGTGGGGCCGCCGTCACCCCGGGATCCTTCCGGGAAGGGCGGGGTGAACACCTACGATTGACCCACCGTAGGTTTGGGGACCTGCAGGACGGGGGGCCCAGCGCCCACACTGGGCCGCCTGGGGCCGCTCTCCGCAGGGGTGTGTGGCGCCCTGGGCTTCCCGAGACCCTGCTTCTCGCCCCGCCCCTCTGCGGGAGCCCCCCGCCGGCCCTCCTGCCCTGAGCCGCTTGGTTGCACCCCCAGAGGCAGCTGAGACGAGGGTTCCAGTGGGAGTGACCAGGTAGCCTGAACTGGGGGGGCGGCAGGGAGGGAGGCCCCCGGAGCGCTGTACGGGACGCTGCTCCCTCCGGGGGGGGTCACCCCTGCTCTCGCTCTGGGCTCGGGCCCAGGGCCAGGTCCTGCGGTGGGTGTGATGGACACGGGTGAGCCCGTGGGTCTGCCTGCCCGCCCAGCGTGGACGCGGCTGGGCCGGCCACGCAGTGGCCGCCGGGGGGAGGCGGGAGGCCGCCGGCCGCGTGCCTGGCCTGAGTCCCTGGCTCTCTGTCCCTGCTGCAGGTGCCGTGCCCAGCTCTCGGCTCCCTGGCGCGGCCCGGGCCGCCCTTGGGGTTGTCCACTCCTCAGGTCCGGTCTCGCCGCCGGCCTCCCGGGCCTCCCTGGAGGATTTGCATCTAAGTGACCACTGCTGGCTTCGTGCTGCACACAGGGCCTTCACGGCCCGCAGGCCCTCCGCCTGCTGGGCGCCGCCTCCTGGGCCTCCCGGCTGCAGCCGGGCCCCACCCTGCGGCCCGGCCTTGCCTGACCCCTCTGCACTGGGCGGCGCCCCGCTCCCGATGGGGGCGCCCCTGGGCCCGCACACGTGGGAGCCCAGGCCAGCGTGCCCACGCGCTCATGTCCTGCCTGCCAGGGTTTCCCCGCGGCCTTGCCCGGCGGCTTGGGGGTCAGGGGGCCCCTCCACCTGCACCACAGGTCCTGCGGCCTGGCCCTGGCTCCCCGATGGCCCCCGCCCTGCTGCTGCCTGGAGGAGCCGGGTGTGGCCAGGCGCAGGAGGCTCCCTCTGGCGGGCTGGGGCTGTGCTCTGACCTCGGCCTCTGCCTGCCTCTGCAAGCCCCGTCCGGGCCCAAGCAGGCTCGGTGGCCCGCTGGGCAGCCAGGAAGTGTTGCTGCAGCGGGGGAGGCTTGGCCGAGCTGGACAATGGCCCCTTGTGCGCGCGCATTCCTCCTTAAGCAGGCCCAGATCCAGGGGCCTGCGCCCGGCGCCCGGGGCGGGACCAGGAGGTCGCCTGCCCTGCGGCCTCTGCAGCACCGAGCCAGAGGGGCGGGGCCGGGGGGG